GCTTCATCCGCATCGCCATTGAGCACGGCGCCGAGCTGCTGCCGGTCTACATGTTTGGGGTGTCCAAGATGATGTCATTCGGGCCCCCCTGGCTCATGAACGTCGGCCGCCGCCACCGCATGTCCATCGGCGTCATGTACGGCCACTGGGGCACGCCCGTCCCGCGCCGCGTGCCAATGCGCATGGCGGTGGGCGTGCCCATCTCGGTGGGGCCCGCGATGCAGCGCAGCGACCCCGGGTTTGAGGAGCACGTTGAGCGGATGCACGCGGCCATGGTGGAGGCCATCAAGGCGGTCTACTACAAGCACAGGGAGGGGTACGGCTGGGGGGACAGGCCCCTGGTCATCGTCTGAGGCGCCCCGCGCACGGCCACGACTGAGGCTGCGGCGGCTGCGGCTTCCGGCGGGGCTGAGGCTGAGAGGAGTGGGGTCTGAAGGGGCCTGTGGCCTGTTGGCCAGGCCGGGCGGTGCTGTGGTGATGTCACTATGATGTCACCGGTGCTCCGCACGAGGCGGGCGTAGTGTTGGGCGATGGGTCCTTTTTGTGCGGCCGGTGGCATATGGTAATGCCTGTCGCTGGGAGCGTGAGAGGCAGCTGCCTGCGCATACGCGCCGGCCTGCATCCTCCAACGCACGTGCACCGACGCTGCAGCATGCCCCAGAGTCAGTGCAGTATTGGCGGGGCGTACGCTGCTGCCCCGGGTTGGTGACCCCCTTCTCGCTATGCTGGGTCTGTTTGCACGCGCCCCTCCTGCAACCCTGACCCTACTGCGAGGATGCAACCTCTCAAGGCCGGATTCAGGCCCATGCAACATTGTCTAAGACAACGCAAGCCCACACCAGTGATGTATGCTTCACTCTCAGGCACTGCCTTTGGAGCTCCCTCCAGCACCGCTCAGTGGGCGCGGCATCTCCACCTCTCCCAGTTGGGAGGGTGCAACACCGGCACCAAAGCACTGGATGGCACACACCTAGCCTCAGTGCCCAGCAGACGGCTCGCCAAGGCCGAGTACAGCCGCATGCCTTGCGTTTGCGCATATTCGAGAGGTTGCTCGGGTACAAAACACCTCTATGGCATGATGGCTGCGCTGGCGCAAGCCACGCGCAGGCGGGGGCCTAGCAGGTGACAATCATTTGCTGTGAGCCCACAAACGCTGGTGGCTGTTTCCAGCCAATAAAGAGTGATGCCAGGCACGTTCATGATTTGTTGTGGAATTGTAATGCGTATTTCTCGGTTGACCCACGACTGGCTGCCAAGCAAGCTGTGTGAGACACTAGCTCCTGGGAGGAAACACCCCTCAAACCCGCCCAGAGCCCCAGCCCCCTAGTGAAGTGGGATCGTCTTGGCAGTAGGATTAGGGCAGTAGGATTAGGGCGAGTACCGTGAGGCAGCAGCAGGTCGGGCTAGAGTTAGGGTTTACCCTGCCTGGCGTGCGCCCCCGCCCCCCAAATTGGCACGCCGCTGCGTGATCGCTGTGATCCGGCAGGTGCCGCACCCTGCAGGGGCCTGCGGCCAGAGGGTGTGGTGCCCCACCTGGTACATCAGTCGGTGACCCTGGGCTGGTAACCTGGTGCTCAGGGCGGGAGTTACCCTGGTTACGGAGGCAGTCATTCGTCATTCAATCGTCGCAGGCAGAAGGGGCTGCAACTACAACGCCTTGGGATTAGTGACAGCAATCATGGGCGAAAACGGGGGTTCGGCTGGCAAACAAGCAACACAAGCAGGACCTCTCTCTGCTGCACTGGCGAGAAAACTTGGCGGGCACACGGCGCTGAGGGTCGAGCGCCCGCTGCGACGCCGACTCAAAGACCGAAAACAAAGACGAAGAAGACTCTCTCTGTGCAGTGAGACGAGGCGGGCGGCACAAACCAAGGGGGTAAGAGGTGCAACAAGGGACGACCACGGCAGGCACGATTTGAGGAGTGGAGAGTCCTGGTCAAAAACGTCAAAATCGAGGGGACGCAAGTAATCAATGCCATCAGGTCGTGGGGGTGGGGGGCAGCCAGGCTATGCTCCTTCCCCCTTGAGCCCCCTGAACGCGCGCCGGCCCTCGCGACCAGGCCGCTTGCGGCCGGGAGCAGGCCCGGTCAGGTGCTCGTGGGGTGCCGGCTTCGCAGGTGCAGGCGGGTGAGCGGGATGCCCGGCTGCTGGGTGGGTTCAAAGCTTTGCGGGGGAGTTGTGCCGTGCCGGCGCCCGCAGCGATGGGCGGAGGCCATCAGGGCCACCTGCCTCTGCAGCCGCGGCCGCCGGCGCAGCGCCGCGCCTGGTCAACAACCGCTGGGAGGGGGGTTCTTCTGTGGCGCGTGGCGCCGCACAGCTTGTGCCGTGAAGCGCAGCGACTGCGCGCGTGGGCGCGTACGCGGCCCGGCGGTCCTCGGTCGCCAAACCCCTGCCGAACCGTGCGCGCGCCGAGGTTTTTGCCAAGGGGGGGTACTGCAGGGCGGAGTGCCACTTGAGCCGCCTAGCGCGGCCCGCTCCGAACCAACGAGGCGCGACCAACATATACCGGACGGGGCCGGTGTGAGCACGCAGGCACAGGATGCAGCCCCGCGGGGCCTGTGCCCGGTGGGTGTTTGTCCTGGCCTCGGCAGTAAAAGTGGGAAGCTGCGGGCGCAATGTGACGGGCGGCGCGCGCTATTTGGCCGCCTTGCCGTGGCACACCAAATGTAAAGCGGGTCAAGCGGAGGAGCAGCGGGGGGCGCCGTACAGAGGTCCGGTGTTGCTGCGCCCGCGCCACGGCTGTGGGTGAGCCCGCAATGCCGGGGGCGCACCGCAAGCCTCCCTCCCTCCTGTGTCATCTCCTGCTGCGGTCTTGCGCCCTGCAGGCGTCGTCGCGGGCCACCCTCTCCTCTGCCCAGGGGCTGCCCAGTCGAGGCAGGGGGCGAGCTTGGGAGGGCGGAGGCAGAGCGCCGGCCTGAAAAGGTGGGCGTTGGCCCCCAGTCGCTGGACGCATCGGTGCCAGCAACCAAATATCGCAATCAATTGATCAGGGAAAAGAGGGTGACGCCGCAGGCAGGGACAGCCAAAGTTGCCATCATCGGCCCGCTGGCTGCGGGGCCTAAAGGGTGGGGGGCGCAGCCACCCAGCGTCTGTGTGGGCCGCCGTGCCTGCTCGCCCAGGCGCCCGGCCCCTCTGCGGCCGCCTGTTGCTGCGGTACGACATGCGGCGCCACGCCGCGGCTGCGACCGCTCGTATTCCGCGCATGCGCTGGCCGGCAAAGGGCTCTGCGCGAGGCCCTCCGAATCAAATCAATCATTCAACCAAACGGCCAGCGCGCCGCCGCGGCCGGCGGGTTGGTGAGGGCCGGGCGCGGCATTCAATGCCGAGGGGTAGGAATCTTCAGGGGCGGGAGGGAGCGCTCTCGCGGTTCGCGGCTCGACCTCCGCAGCAACCCAGCAAACATCAAAAGGTGCGCATCAGAAGTTTGAAATCGGGAGCATGCGCGCGGCGCGGCGCCGCGCAGCCACGGAGGAAGGCGCGCGGCGCCGCCGGCCCCTGTGCAGCAGCGGGCACGAGGCGCGCCGGCTCGGCACAGCATATCAACGCCGCCGCCTCGGGCCATCGAGCGCGCTAGGGTCAGCGCAGCCCCCCGGGCCGCACGTGTGGGGTGCACGCTGCCGTCGCACCGTCCAGGTCACACTGTGCGCGCCCGCGCCCCTCAGTCTGTGATCTCAAACGTGCGCGGCCCCTTGCCCTCCGTGTGTATCTCCCACATCCGCAGCAGCACGCGCTCCAGGTCCCGCACCCACCGCCGCGTGTCGAACAGCGGGCACGTCAGCCGCGCCGCCTCGAGCCGCGCGCGCAGCGCGCCGCGCTTGGCCGCGTCCAGCCCCAGCTCCACCGCGCGCGCCTCGTACTCGGCCTGCGACGACACCACCATCTCCCGCCCCAGCCCTGTAGCGCACGCCAGGCTCGCCGCCACGCGCGACGCCATGCGCTCCAGCGGGAGCGTGACCATGGGGCAGCCGCCCCACAGCACGTCGCAGCCGGTGGTGTGGGCGTTGCAGAGGGGGGTGTCCAGGAACACGTCCGCCAGGCCGCTGCGGCGGATGTGCAGGTCCTTGTGGGCCACGTCCGTGAAGATGACGCGCGCGGGGTCCACGCCGCGCGCAGCCGCCGCGGCGCGTATGTTGGCCTCGCCGTAGGGCGGGAAGCGCAGCAGCCAGAGCACGCTGTTGGGGACGCGGTGCAGGATGTTTGTCCAGGTGGCGAAGGTGTCGGGGTCGTACTTGTAGAGCTGGTTGGAGCAGGAGAAGATCACGCGGTCGGCCGGCAGGCCAAACTCGGCGCGGCTGGGGAGGGTGGCCTTGTCCAGGACGTCACTGGGGGGGGGGGG